AATTTTCTGCATTAAACTCTGTATTTTAATAATGAAGTGGAGATTTTTTTCCCTCATTTAATTTTATGTGTTATAGGGTTTATACTGAGTACAATATTATATAACTGTATTAATTCAACTGTGAACCTAAAAATTTACAGCCACTTTTGAAAGAGATGTATCCTTGCTCTGGAAATTGTTACTGAATATGTTAAAGCTGTAATGAGATGCTTCTTCTAATCATGTGATTATTAAATAAAAAATTAATTAATTAAAAAATATGGAACTCAACAGGAAAAAACCTAACAATGATATAATCCAATTTAAAGACAGTAGACATATAGACATTTATCTAAAAAACACATACAAATGGCTAGCAGTTCTGTGAAAAATACTCAACATTAACCAGTATGAAAATGCAGACGTAACTCCATGAGATTTTACCCATCTCAATTTAGAATGGCTATTATCAAAAAGACAAAAAAAGTGCTGGCAAGGATGTGAAGAAGTGAAGGGAACCACTACACCATGCTGACATGGCTCACAATTCACAGTCATTATGGAAAACACTGTGGAAGGTCTTTACAGGGTTCCAAACAGAACTAACACGATCCACCAATCCCATAACTAGGAGGGTGGCCACAGAAAAGGAAATGTCAGAGAGAGCTGCATGCCCATGCTTACTGTAGCACTATTCACAGGGGTTAAGATATGGAATCAATCTGTGTCTATCAACAGAACAGATAAATGTAGTACGTGCACACAATAGAATACTATGCTGCCATATGAAGGTTGAAATCCTGGTATTTCTACCAATATGGATGAGCCTAGAAGATATTACGTTAAGTGAGATGGAAATATACCAGGTGCAGAAAGACAAATGATGATCTCATTCACTATATGGAATACAAAAGGCCAATCTTAGAGAAGCAGAGAGTGGAATCATGTTTATCAGAATGTGGGGGTGAAGACAGCAGAGGTTAGTCAATGAGTACAAAGTTAAAGCAGACAGGAGGGGTAAGATACGATTGTCTATTGCACAGCAGCATTGCTGTGGTCAATAATCAGGTATTGTATATTTGAATAGCTAGAGAGGAGGGATAAGATACAATCGTCTACTGCACAGCAGCATTGCTGTGGTCAATAATCAGGTACTGTATATTTGAATAGCTAGAGAGGAGGGCTTTAAAAGTTTCACCCCAAGGAAGTGGAAAATGACTAAGATAAAGGCTATACGAATAACCCTGATTAGATCATTACACAATATATACATGTATTGAAACTTGAAACAGCACACTGCATCCTATACATTTCTATAGCTACGTGTTAATTAAAAATAAATTAAAACCTCTTCCCAAAATTAAAAAAAATCCCATACTTTGTTCAGATTTCTTCAGTTTTTATTTAATATACAATACTGAACTTAATAAAAAATACTTAATAAAAATAATTTTAAAATGTTCAAACAAAGAATTTCAACAAAGCATGTTCAGTCCACACTGGGGATTTTCTTTTTAAAAAAGTTTTAAATTTTATTTATTTTTATTTTATGTGTAGTGTTATGCCTGTATATGTGTAAGTGCACCCGTGTTGTGTAGTGCCTGCACAGAAGAGGGTGTCAGATGCCCTGAACTGGAGTTACAGATGGTTGCTAGCCACCATGTAGGTGCTGGGATTCGAACCCATGTTTTCTGTAAGAGCAGCTAGTGCTCTTAACCACTGAGCAATCTCTCCAGCCCCCACATTGGAGATTTTCATTAGACTTGTTTACCATAATAAAATTTACATTAAAAATTTCCAATAGCAAACATTGGAACAAACAATTTATGACTGAACTTCATTTAATTCTTTTAGTTCCTAAGCATTCTGGTTAATTCTACTGCCATAGACAGGCTTATCCAGTTACTATATAAACAAAGTCCCTCCAGGAGCTGGGGTTGAGGGGAGCGAATGTAGGCTTGAAAGCCCAACAGGACTAGATTCAAATCTCCACCTTCCTTAGCAGTCATAGTATTAGCTTTGTGCTCTGGCACAAGTTAATGTTTTTGAGTTACACGCACGCGCGCGTGCGCACACACACACACACACACACACACACACGCCAGTGAGAAAAGCACACTTCTCTATAAGTTTTTAATACAGCTTGTCTTCAATGAAGCTCATGTTAAGGCTTGGTCCCCAAAACAGCAGTGCTGGAAGGGACCGGCTATTGAGGAGTTCAGCTCCCCGCTTTCTTTGCATGGTCCAACTTTCCTTTCCACATTCCCACAACGCATGGACACCAAGAAGTTATCAGATGCCAAATGGATGCAGTTGCTTGATTTTGGACTTCCAGCCTCCAGTGCTATGACCTAAATAATTTTTTTGCCATAAATTACCAATGTTATAGTAACAAGAAACAAAGGCATCTACCTCCACAAATTTTTAGAACAAAATACATAATGTTCTTCAGAGAGTTTCCTGGCATACAGTGAACATTTAACAAATATTTATTCCCTTAGTGAAACAAAACTATATAGTATATATAGAAGGTAATTAATGACTCTGATTTGGTCATTTTTCCATTAGCAATCTAAGTATCTGAGGTACAACTAAATAACATCATGACAAACACTACCACATATGGAAGTTTCATTAGAGCAAAGCCACAAAAAGCCAAAAGTCTGCAAATTCTTCCAGGTTCTCCTACTCCACATCATTTCCTATGTGTGTCTACAGCCTGGAGGTCAAAGGGGCCCCGGGAGCCCTCAGGACCAGTGTAGACAAGGCAACTCATCTGGAAGCAGAAAGATGGCAGCACAGAAGCCTAGAAAGAGGGTCTGTGTTCCAGAGTCAGAGTGTACATCACCTTTCTGCTCAGCCAGGCTCCACAGCTCCTGAGCTGCTGTCAAGGACAGTGTCATAGGGTATTCCACCAGGACGTGCTTGCCAGCCTGAAGAAACTGCCTTTGGAAACAGAAATCCAGGGAAAGAACACCACTTCAAATAAACTTCATTCAAACATTCTACACAATAGAAAACACAATGTTGCCAATGCGCAAGAGCCTGTGTGTGGGTGTGTCACAAATGGGGCCAGAGTCAGTGCCACCTAAAATAAAGAATGATATAGAGAGGATTATATATATATATAAAGGATTTTATTTCTCTACACTGTGAGAAAAACTTTTCGTCACATAATCATTTTAATATTCATCCATTCATTTCTTTCCAATTAAGTAGTATTTACTAATTGTTTTGGCTAAGAAAAAAAGGGTGAACTAACAAGTATTACTTGTCACCTCAAATGTAAAGAAGACTACACAACCCTAGGCCTGACTGAAGCAGTCTGCCAAGGTTTCACCAATGACAGCTGAATTGGGTCCTGAAGGATGAAGAGGCGTTATCCAAGTACAACTCTGAGTAGCAGGTTCGTGCACTTGGGCTTTTTGAGAACTCTGTCTTTTACTTTGCAACTTTCAGTGTGGCAGGGAGAGGGTTACAAAGAACAGAGGCAGACAGTAAAAGTAGCTGAAGATCTGACTTCACTGGCTCTTCTGCTGTTCTCAGAAGTTTAGATATTATTACCTTGATCCCAGAGTATAAGCATCTAGAAGCACAGGAGTCATATGTTCATCTTTTAAGGGAAATTTACTCCATACAAGAGAAGTTGAAAGGATTATGAGAAAAAGATTTTGTTTACTCTAGACAAACACTGATGGAGCGGAGGGGGATCAGCCCAAGGATCAGCATAGCGGTAGCAGCTAGAGCTCATGTAAGAACCTAGAAGTGAAGCTGTGACGGGCACACCATCCAGTCCAGCCTGGGGCTCTTCCTTCTGCACTGGTCCCACCAAATGCCCAAAGGAGTCTAGGCAGTTCATGTACATGGTGAGGGGGGATGGCCCAACTGCACTTTTGCTCCACAATGTCATTACCTCTTCAGTGACAACTTTACTTACTAATCTCACAGCCCCAGCACTTTCTATTAAAGGGATGCTCAGAGATAGTTCGCAACACTGAGAGAGCAAAGATAGCATTGTAGGCTGATTCAAACTTAGAGAGGAGTGGCAGTTCACAGAGTACAACTGTTCCTCTTCACCTTAAGTTGTCGGATAAGAAAGAGGAGGTAAACTTGGCTCAAACTAGTCAATGAGATTGTTACAAAAAAATTAAGCAGTATAAAATTTAATTTTCTGTTTAAATTATAGCATACAAAAGAAATATTAGTTTTAAGTTTTAATTTATATTTAGTTATAACTGACAGTGAGTTTGCTTGGTAATAATTTTGTTTGTTTGTTTGTTTCTTTTTAGTGGTTCTAAGGATCGAACCCAGGGCTTTATACACGCTAGGCAAGGCCTCTAACACTCAGCTTATACCCCTAGCTCTGACCATAATCTTTTTCTCCCAAAAAGCCAAATCAGAGTGTGACATAATTGTCTGCCCATGAGAAATCTGTGATTTCTACGCTGTTGCAGAGCACTTAAGATTTTCATCAAGACATTTCAAAATGGGGCTAAACAACCCAGAAATTGCCCAGAATTCTTTTGTGCATATATCTTTTATTTCCTACTTTAGCAACAGTAATACCAAGCACTATCACTTCTATAGAAACCCAGAGATAACCATGCGTTTAAAAGTACAGGGATTTGCACTCAGGAGGCAGAAGCAGGAGGATCTCTGAGATCAAGGCCAGCCTGGTCTACATGGTAATTCCAGGCCTGCTGGAGCTACAGGAAGACCCTGTCTCAAAAAGGCCCCCCCCACAAAAAAATTATAGGGATTTGAAGCCTGTTCTTGTACCAAGAACAAGCTCATCTGGCTCATCTATAGGCCTTATGCTAGTCCTAAACACTTTCTCCACAGGCCAAAAATTCAAAAAAGAGCCTCACTGTGTCCCAGTTCTCCTAGAGGAAGCTCTTAGCATGACCAGGCTGGGAGGGCAACACTGTCCCACCCATTCAGCCATGCCAACACCAGGGACAGGGGGCAATCTGCCATAACAGCACATGCTAGTACACTGTCCTGCCTCCTGGAAAAACCCTGAAAGCAATTTTTATTTTTATTTTATTTATTATTATTTTTATTTTATGTGTATGAGTGTCTTGCCCGCATGTAGGTGGGTGCACCTGTGCTCATGCAGTGCCCACAGAGGCCAGAAGAGGGCGTCAGATCCCTTGGAACTGGAGTTCACACGGTTGTTAGCTGCCATTTGGGTTCTGAGAATTGAACCTGAGTCCTCTGCAAGAGCAGTCAGTGCTCTTAACAGCTGAGCCATCTGTCCAGCCCAAGGTTATAAATATTCTTATACATTGTTATCTTGGGGAAAGTTAGATGTAAACACTGCATCTTCATCTGTATTTGAGATATCCGAGGGATGTGGGTAGTTAATGAGTGAACAAGAATATGGATTGGATCAAAGAAGTGGGTGTGTCAGGGGACCAAGTGGACAGCCTACCTTAGAACCTTAGGTGTGGCCTGATGAAGTCTCAGTGGGAGAGCCCTTGCCTAGCATGTGTGAGGCTCAGGATTCAACCTCCAGCACCTCAAAAACAAAAACAAATAAACAAAAAACCCCAAAAAAACAGGAATGACACAAAGGAAGAGATCCAGGTAATCTTTTAATACAGTTCATGTCATTTTTATTGAAGAAACACTGTTACTGTTTTCAGAGGTGATACAGTGGTGGCAAAGTCCATATTCATTATAAACACATTACCATCAGGACTATATCACTAAAACAAAATGTTAAAAGATATTTTTATTTTATGTGTATTATCTGCATGTACGTAAGTGAACCCATGTCGTGCAGTGCCTGAAGAGGTCAGAAGAGAGTGTTGGATCCCCTGGTACTGGAGTATGGAGGATTGTTAGGCATCATGTGGGTGCTGGGAAGTGAACCCAGGTCCTCTACAAGAACAGCCAGTGCCGCACCCCCTTCTCTGAGGCTTGGAACACAGAAATCTGATACCCTCTACCTCGGAGTATTGAGTATTGGGATCAAAGATATATACAGCCATACCCACCTCAAGAGCAGCTCTTCAGCCTCAGAAATGAATTTTTTTTTCTTTTTAAAAAGTTTTTTATGGGGCTGGAGAGATGGCTCAGCAGTTAAGAGCGCTGGCTGCTCTTGCAGAGGACTTGGGTTCAATTGCCAGTACTTACATGGTGACTAATAACCATCTGCATCTCCAGTTCCAGGATATCTGACATATTCTTTTGACCTCTGCTGGCATTGCATGACATGGGTGCACTTATACACATGCAAGCAATACACTCATATACATAAAATAAATTTT